CAATCCCTTTTCCTCCATTCTCCTCTCGGAATCTTGGGCACACACGCACACGCGCCCGGCGTGAGTTTTAAGCCACCAGGTCCGGGACGCGAACCGTGGTCGACTACGTGGGAGTCCAGCGACATAGCCATTACTCTAACTGCTGGTTTCCAATATTTGTAAGATTCTTTGGTGAGACTTTCATTATTCATAATGTATTCTATTTGATCAGGTTCTGCAGCTGATTCATGAGAGAGACAACATCTGTAAGCAGATCCACCTGCCAGCCCAGAGCGGAAGCAGCCGTGTATTGGAGGCCATGCGGAGGGGGTAAGACTTGCTTTGAGAGGGTACATCCCATCTCCTTTCATAAGAACCTACTGAAGTGCATGGCACATAGTACCTGTTTCAATAATTACTGTATGAGTAAACCCATAGACATTAGAACTTGGTTCTGCTCAGTCTATAAGCATAGACTAAGAACTAGGTCACTCATTTTCATTCATTTAGCATATTTTTAAAAATAAACACTGACTGGCACACTCTGAGATTTTAATCCTTTAACTTTTTTTTTAAATTTATTCATTTATTTAATTTGACCAGAGAATGATAGAGAAAGAGAGATAGAAAGTGAGAAAGCAAGCCACCAAGTCTGGGACTTGAACCATGGTTGGCCATGTGGGAGTGTCCAACGCCTTAACCACTATGCCACCTGCTGGTCCCCATTACTCCTTTAACTTTTAGCATTAAAGTGTTTTTAGGTCTTAGAATTTTTTGGGGGCCCACGCATGCACACGTGCCTGGCGTGAGTTTAAGCTGCTGGGTCCGGAACTCAAACTGCGATTGACTGTGTAGGAGTCCTGGGACACAACCATTATACCATCTGCCAGTCCCTATGTCTTAGAATTTAAATGTAGCTCTAGTTGTCCACTTTCTTTGGGAGTAATAAATATTGTAGAGATAAGACTGAAGGGACAATGCAGCCCAAGGCAGGCTAGTTGGAGCTAGCGTTTTCCCTTGTTTTCTGCAGTGGCAAAGTTTTAGAGATCCTCTTTAATGTTTAATCTGTCTTGATTTATTAAGTAAATAATAACTGTTTAAAACAGTTATGTCCTTGAAGAACTAAAAATTCATAGGCTGTAGATTAGATTACAGTACAGGACTTGGATCAAAAGGGTTCCTTTGGGCCCACTGTGGTGGTACCCATGGCCCAGGTGCTGTACTCCACAGGTTGGGATCATGTGGAAGGGCCAGTTTTGATTCCTTGTTTGACCTTAAGGCTGGGTACTATGGCATGCACCTGTAATCTTACTGACAGGAGGCGTCTGAGGCAGGATCATGAGCTTGAGTCTGCCCTGGGTAACACAATGAGACCCTGTTTGTAAAAGAGCTGAGTGTGGGAATGCACACTTGTAGACCCAGTGGGGAGGCCGGGGCAGAAAGATCATAGCAGCTGGAAATTGTCTTAAGAAAAAGGAGGATAGGTTCTTTTAGATACTTTAATGTACACTTGTACTGTGCTGAGTAGGTAAAAAGTGATTTCATGGGGAAATGCATGGTATTTTTCTAGCATTCATTTCAAGAAGATCGATTAATCTAGGCCATTCCTTTTTCTTTTTATTGTAGATATTCAAGAGAAGCTTATGTGGAGTTAGTTCACCATATCAGAGAGTCTATTCCAGGTATATTTAAGATATGTATTCTGCTGAGCACAATGCCCTACCAGTGCCGCTAGCCTTGGTCAGATGCAAGCAGTGGCCTACACCATTTTGTACTTCTTTTGTACCTCCTCTTCTTTTCCTTTTTTTTTTTTTTCCTATTCTTTGTTTTACATCTTTCTAATTTTTTTGTTGTCTTGGTCCTGCCAGCAATATTCAGAGGTGTGGAACAGCTTGTGGCCTCAAGGCTAACGATAGTCTTTTCCTAAAAAAAAGATTTTGGGCATGCATGTACTCATGCCTGGGGTGTTTCTCAAGCTACCGGGATTTGAACCGCATGTTCGTCCATGTGGGATCTGGCTCCCTTAGCCAGTGGGCCCACAATTGATACCTTTAAAAATGTGAATGTTGTGGATAGCAGACCCATCCTCCCTTGCTCTGTAATGACAGTTCTTTTTTTTTTTTAGAGATTTTCGCTATAGGGCACGTGCACTCGCCAGACAGAGAGAGACATAGAGACAGAAAGCGAGAAATCACCCCCCAGGGGGGATGGTCACGCCGCAATCCCTTCTCCTCCATTCTCCTCTTGGGATCTTGGGCACGCACGCACACGCTCCCGGCGTGAGTTTTAAGCCACCGGGTCCGGGACGCAAACCGCAGTAGACTACGTGGGAGTCCAGCAACATAGCCATTACGTTAACTGCTGGTTCCCATGACAGTTCTTTTTGTACTTGCATGTGAGCTGAGTAGCCTCAGGGAAGCTGTCCCTAAGTCTATAAATGTCAAAGGCTTCTCTTCAAGGTCCGTACCACTGACTTCTCACACTTTATGCTCTGTCCTATGTTGCAGGTGTGAGCCTCAGCAGTGACTTCATTGCTGGGTTTTGTGGTGAGACAGAGGAAGATCACCTTCAGACAGTGTCTTTGCTCCGGGAAGTTCAGTATAACATCGGCTTCCTCTTTGCCTATAGCATGAGACAGGTGAGTCCTGAGGTGGGGAAGGACTGATAGTCTTCTGAGCCATCTTAGTGTTGATCATAGACAATTGTTCAGAAAGCATGGCAGCACAGCAGTCCTTGAGAAACCACAGGATCTTCCTACTTTTTCATTTATCTAATCAGCTTTATTGTTTGACATGATTTAGCGATTCGAGATGAAGAAACATTACTCATGCTAGTATTCCTCTTTAAAATATTTTTTAGGGGACCAGCAGATAGCATAGTGGTTGCGTCGCTGGACTCTCATGTTGACCATGGTTCGAGTCCCAGACCCAGTGGCTTAAAACTCACGCTGGGCACATGTGCGTGTATGCCCAAAATCCTGAGAGGAAAATGGAGGAGAAGGGATTGCGGCATGACCATCCCCCCTGGGGGGTGATTTCTCGCTTTCTGTCTCTCTGTCTTTCCATTAAGCATATGTGCCTTATAGCAAAAATCTCTCTTAAAGAAAGAAGAATTTTATTTTTTAAGTCATTTAATGTTTGAATGTGGAGGGCTAGCAGGTGGCATGGAGGTTAAGGTGCTGGATCCCACATAGCTGGCTGCACCTCTCGAATTCCAAACCTGGTGGCTTGAAAATCATGCTGGATGCATGTGTAAGTGTCCCCAAAATCCTAAGAGGAGAATGGAGAAGAAGGGATTGTGGTGTGACCATCCACCCTGAAGTGATTTCTCACTTCCCTCTCTTTTTCTCTGGCAAGTATATATACCCTATGGCAAAAACTAAAAAAAAAAAATAAAACAAAAATTAAAAAAAACTAAACTAAAATTTGGATGTATAGGGAGAGAGACTATCCTTTTATTAGGAATCTAAAATTATTTTTCAACATGTAGAACTTAATTTTTGTTCTTTAGATATACTTTATTTTTATATTTTAAATTTGCCAAAGGACCTGTGTCCTGGCTGGAGATAGACAGAGACAGATAGAAAATGAGAGAAGAGGAAAGTGAGGGAGTACCCCCTGCCAAGGGAGATGATTATGTTGCAGTCCTTTCTTGTTCATTTCTTTCTCCTTTGGAATTTTGGACATGTACACACATGCACCCAGCATGTTTCTTAAGCTGCTGGGTATGGAACTTGAACCATGCAGTTGGCCGTGTAGGATCTAGCCATCTTAACCACCATGTTACCACTGGCCCCCATTTTTATATTTTATATTGCCAGAGGGCATGTGTAATGTGTACTTGCCAGAGAGAGAGAGAGAGAGAGAGAGAGAGCATGAGAGAGAGAGAGGAGAGAGAGTGAGAGGCGAGAAGAGAAATGGAGCATGGTCACGCTGTAATCTTGCTCCTTCTGTAACTCTGTCCTGTCAGGATTTTAGGCATGCACGCACGTGTACCCAGCATGGGTTTTATTTTTTTGGAGGGGTTTTTGCTATAGGGCGCATACTTTTGGCTCGCCAGAGAGACAGAAAGCGAGCAATCACCCCCCAGAGGGGATGGCCATGCCACAATCCCTTCTCCTCCACTCTCCTCTCAGGATCTTGGGCACACATGCACACGCACCCGGCGTGAGTTTTAAGCCACCAGGTCCGGGACTTGAACTGTGGTCGACTACATGGGAGTTCAGCGACATAGCCATTACGCTAACTGCTGGTCCTCCGAGCATGTTTTTCAAGCCATGAAGTCAAGACTCAACTTTGGCTCCCAATATACAGCACTTAACAATTGCATTATGAGACTGGCTCTCTTGTTTACACTTTTCTAGGCCAAATGATCCCTCTAATACCCACTTTGGGGTTTCTCCTATAACATAGAGCCCTAGAAAAATAAAGCAGAAGGCCATTAGAAAGGAAAGACATGTACATTTCCTGCAGGGGAGATAGTTCTGGTCTGAGGCTATTTTCTTGGTCGTAGGGAGCAATTTACATGGGTTACTTTTCATGCCCCCTGTTATTTCAGAGGCAGCATGCCTGCATTTGGGGTAGAGACTGAAGGACCCCTGTGGCCATGGGGCTCAGGAAAGCTGATGAATAATTGAACCCATTACCCCTGTGGCCATGGGGCTCAGGAAAGCTGACTGATGAATAATTGAACCCATGAGTTTAGCCTCACTGTCACTGAGCTCTTATCGACCAAGTTAATTCATTTGTTTTAAAGCCCACTGCCTATTGCTGTGTAGGCGGTCTAAATAGGCCGGTGTGTATTTTCAAGTCTCAGAGAATTATTTCAGAGATGAAGCTTCAGAGGAGCTGCTGGGTTCCAGATTGCCTTTTCTCCATGGACATCACAAATATGCAAGATAAATTCTTTATAATTCTTGGGATAACAAATTGGTTTTCAGTGTGTAAAAGAAGTAAGTCCTATGGGCATTGAATATGGGTGTTTATTTTAGGACTTCATCTCTAGTTTAGAGTTAAGGGTACAGAAACTTGAGGAACCTGGTAGATGAGAGAAAGCTCTCAAAATATGCCTCTGCTGCTTAGTAGCCATATGACCTTGGGGCAAGGTCCTTGGTTTCCTTAGCTATGAAATACCGAGAACATTAGTGCCAACATTGTTTTGAAGATTAAATAAGACATGCATATAAAAGCACTTAGAATAGTGTTTAGTATATAGAAATGCTTGTTAGAGGTGGGTTATTGTTAATAACAAGACAGAATGAGTAAAACCCTGCAAATGTCTTAGGATTTTCTACCTATCTCTGTTTACCACTGTGGATTTGGTAGTTCTCTCAAAAGGCAGATTGGTTTGAGTGTCTAGGCTTTAGCATATAGATTTTCATTTTATTCCATGTTTTTGTCTAGCTGTTCTCCAGCTGCATCAAACATGCGCTCATGTACATAAGGGGCCTCAAATGATGGTGCAGCAGTATTGCAGCCCTCTGTGAGGCTGATTGACCCACACAGGAACGTTCCTGGTTCCCGCCCAGAATCCTCTCTGAATATGCTTGGTGTGTGCATGTCCATGAGCAAATGTTAGCTGAGGGTGGGGGATGATTGTGCGTGAACACTGTTTTGGGTTCCTGTCTTTCTTGGTGTGTGCATGCCCATGAGCAAATGTTAGCTGAGGTGGGGGATGATTGTGCGTGAACACTGTTTTGGATTCCTGTCTGTCTTTCATTCTTTCTGTCTGTATCTCTTGCTCATAGAAGAAAGAAATAAACTTTAAAAAAAAGATGTGGAGGCATACATACATATTGTAGTTTTTGTGTTTGGATGATTTAAGTGTTTTACAAAGATTAATTTTTTTGAATGAGGTAATTCATACTTATGGTATACAGTATAAAAGGTTAAAATGGTTTACAGTGTGAAGTAGTTCTTCCAAGGTTGTTAGTTTTTCAGTTCCTTTCCTGAAGGCAGATGCTTTTAGCAGTTTTTTTCTATAATCTTCTAGAGATAGTTCATATATTTATAAACATACTTATATGTATTCATATATATATATGTTCTTTTTATCTTTTAAAAATTTTAATTATTATTATTTATACATTTAATCGCTATACATCATTTAGATTGTAAAGAGATTTTACCCAACATGATATACGCCACACACCAGACGAGTTGAGAATACTATACACAACATCATCAGCAGGCATCAAACCATATCTGTGTCCCACAAATGTCTCACTTCCCCATTTTTTCCCAAATTCCCTTTTCTGCATTCTTCCCCTGTCCCACTCTCCTTCCACTTTGTCCCCAGTGTCCATAACCATTTTTTTTTTGGAGAGGTTTTCGCTATAGGGC